ATCGTAAAACGCACATTTATAAGGAGAATTTTGGACGTTTTTAATCGAAAATTTTACTATTATTATCTCCTGGATGTTATGCAAGAATCAGACAAATTTTGACTATAAATTGCGCGGGTACATTTTTGTAAAATTAATTAATTGTGGGAGTAAATTTGGCAATCTTGGAATTGGGTTACGTTCCTTCGTCGGGGAGACGACGATAATTCCGACACGGGCACGGCTTCCCATGGGGGTGGGAGGGGGGGGGGGGGGGGGGGCGAAAAACTTTGTTCGTTTCATCGAAGCTGTTCGTGGTTTATCATTTTAACGTCCCCGTTCCGGAGCGGCGCGGCGTGATTTTCCAGTCGGCCATAAATTGTTCTTTCCTGATGCGATGCGGGACCGGCGACCGGCGGCCCGGGCGGCGGAATTACGTTCAATAACTAACGAGCGCGGCGGGCGGGACCCGGGACACTGTCAGTGTGACGATCAAAGTTTCATCAAAATCGAAATCATATCGGCGGATGCGGATGCCAGGTGAGCGCCCCGCCCGGCCAGCGACGTCCGACGCAGACGTCCGGTCTCGGATGAACTTCGGTGCCCCGCGACCCCGCCGTCGACGGTGCCCCCGGCCTATTTACGACTCGGCCGGGAATTAGCCGACTTTAATCGATAGCCACCCCTAGCGATGGTGAGGGTGGATTGTCACCCGCTCAAACTCAAAATTTGGTACTCGCCCCTCGCCCCACCCGGTCGATGTAGGAAGAAGGAGGTAGGAGAAGAAGAGGATTAGTAAGGAGGAGAAGATTGAGTCTATTAAAAAGGAAAAGAGGTAGGAAAAGAAAAAGAAAATACGGTGTGAGGAAAAATTAAAGTGTGGAAAAGCAGGAGGCGAAAGGAATTGTAGAATATGACGAAGGAAAACGAATGGGGAGGAAAGAGAAGGGAAGAAGAGGAAAGAGAAGGAAAGGCAAAGTACACTGGAAAAAAAAACGCATTGGATCTAGAGTCCAGACTCTTAAAAACATCGACAAGAAAAAGTACTCATGATTCAATCGGAATCTAGAGTACCTTTATAGCGAGAGTATGGACAGATCGCTTGATGGAGGGCTTAGGGCCCAAAAGTGCAGCCACCCTTCTGAGCAACTTCTAACACACAAAATTTCACTGCCAGCCCACAGAGTTCAATTCTAACCAAGATGGCCAAGAATGTACATAAATGAGCGTTCTTTTGCAAAAATAAGTAAATTTATGCTAAAAGTAAGCCAAATACATGCTCTATAAACGGCGGTTCGTAACAATTGTATTTAAAAATCGCTCTGGACATTCGAAATTCATAGGTTGGCTGCATTTCTGGGCCCTAACTTCATTCACGGAGGCATCGGTGAAGGCCTGATGGATTTTCGGAGTTTCACATCTGTCCATACTCTCGCTATACAGGTACTCTATCGGAATCTATAGCTTAAATCAAGAACCAAGCCTTTTAATTTAAGCGGATTTCGTTTTGATTCAAGCGAAAATCCGATTGAATCAAAAGTGTTTTTCTTGTCAATGTTTTCAAGAGTCTGGACTCTAGATCCAATGTGTTTTTTTTCCAGTGAGGAGAAGATTGAGTCTGTTGAAAAGGAAAAGAAGTAGGAAAGGAAAAAGAAAATACGGCGTGAGGAAAAATAAAGTGCGGAAAAGTAGGAGACGTAAGGAATTGTAGAATATGACGAAGGGAAACGAATGGGGACGAAGGAGAAGGAAAGGAGAGGAAAGAGATGGAAAGGCAAAGTACGGAGAGTAAGAGGATGACGAAAAAGTAGACCGCGGAGAAGGAGACTCTAAAAAAGGAATGAAAGAAGATATACGTAGATGACGAAAAAAATAAGAAGATACAATTGACGAAGAAAAATAGGAAGATGCAGATTACGAAGAAAGAAGAAGAAAAATACAAATGCGGAAAATCAGGACACGAAAGAAATATCGTCACCTTCGGCACAGAATCACAAGCGCAATGCGATGGTTAAAAATGTCCGCCGCCATTTTATTTTTTTACAGAGAAATTGTGGGCTGAATCTGTTTGAACATTCAACGAATTTTATCGGCAGCACGAAGAAAATCAAGTGAATTTTTTGGAAAGTTTCGTTGAACAATTTCCCTGTAAAAAAAAAAAGAAAAGAAAAGGGGGCAGAAATTTTGACATGTCGCATGGCGCTTGTGATACTTCGGCTGGGTGACGATACAAAGAACATGACAAGGGAAATCGAAAGGAGAGGAAGGAGAAGAAGATAGGAAGAAAAGATAAATTACAGAGATAGAAAGGACGACGAAGGAGCAGAAGACGGGGAAGAAGGAAACTACTGAACAGAAAAATAAGAAGTAGCAAAGGAAGAATAAGATACTGATGAAGGAAAATAAGAAAAATAAAAGTACGTTAAAATACGTAAAACACATAAAATTAGTAGTGCAAGGGGAATTCTTTTTAAAGAAAATAGAAAAAACTTTGATGAATATCTTACTCAAGGAAGAGTAAAATTCCAGCGGACGGTTGCTTATTTTTGGCGGAGGCTCCAGATTGAGCGTGTCATGTGACACCCGACAGCCAGATTTTTCCAAGGAACTGTCAGGGGGCTTTGGAGCGTCCGTAATCTACTGTCAAGGGGGCCTGGCACTTCCGTAATCTACACGCCGCGCCGCGCTGAGCTTCCGAGTGTCGTCCAATTTTTCATCCCCGCTTTGATATTTCGTCTGCAGAAAATATGTTTCATAACAGTCCTTTATGAATCCCAATGTTCTCGTGATAAGATTCTCTTATATTGTCATCAATTTTGTGAAAAGTTTGCATTTGGTGTGTTTGCCGGAGTTTTTGCTTGTGCTGAAAAAAAAAATTCACGGGATTTATAGACATACCGTCCGTTTCGGGTTCTGAGGCCGAAACTTCCGGGTGTTGGAGCCGTAGCTTCGATTTTGCCTGGTGCTACGCCCGGAACTTTCGGCCTCTGAACCCGGAACGTGGACGGTATGTCTATATAGTCCGTAAGTATGGCTTCCACGGCCAGAGATTTTTTTTCAGCGTATCAATAGCGAAACTAGTATGTGGAGTCGTCCGCATGATGCCACGCTGAGCTGAGGGCTTCTCATTTAAAACAACCTACTTGTCAGTAAAAGTCAAGGAATTTGAAAATGAAGGAAACATGGAAACTATCGCCCAAAGTGAAAATTGCAATGCAGCTTGAATATTATACCGGAGGGGCTTGGAGGACAACGCGCATTAGTGCAGTTTTTGAAAAATTGAGATATTAATGATTTCAAGCAAAACTAGTCTTAATCCATATTCTGCGAGAAAGGTCCCAACTTCTAATTTTTAAGTATCCAAAAGTCAGTTTTAACTTTCTTTCCGCCGTAAGGTACCATGTCATTTTGAAATTTCATATGCGTATTTCTCGAAATAGCAAAAACTGCACTTATGCGCCTTGTCCTTCAAGCCTCTCACTGGTAAACAAAGGTAGCTAAATTGCAATCTGTGAGTGGCAATACCATCTAAATAAGGGTCACCATCATAAGGGTTACCATCAAATAGGGGCACACAAATGAAACTGAATGAAATTTCTCGTTTTAAGAAAAGGAAAAAAAAGAAAAAATAGGAGGGAAATGGTTTTTTCGACGTTTTTGAAAATCGCCCATTTTACTTTGACGAGATTTTTTTTTTTTTTTTCTGGGCAGGTTTTCACAGATTTTTGTCCCATTTCACAAAGGAAGCGTAGATTCTCGTGGAGCCTCAGACGCGAGCCAGTGTTGGAACGACTCCGAATTATGGGTAGCAGATGTTGATGGGTATTATGTCGGAGGGGTTTGGTTTTGTCGGCCTCCGAAATAAAAGGAGTGAGGGGTTAAAAATAGCTCGCGATATGGCGGGGTGCGAAGGAGAGGAATAAATAGGAATACCAAATCTGTACTCATGTATTTTTTATGAGATAACAACCAGGTAGGCCGCCCTCATTCTGAATAATAAATTATAAAAATAAAAGACATTCGCGTTTGGGCGCAGACGTAAGCTCTCATCTCTCTTTTGGAGGACTCCCCGCATCCAAATCTGACTAAAAAACGGAAAGGTTTTTAAATACGCGAGCGCGAGGCTGAGCTAAAATATGCTCCGGCCGACTCGACGCTCAAACACTCGATTTCAATTTAACGTTCGAGGGAGACGCTCCAGTCGAGAAAACAATAAAAGAGGCTCGCATTAGCTTTTTCTCACGTCACCGCGCGCTGCATTCCGTCGCCTCCCAGGACAAAAGACCGTAACTACACTTTGACTACAATTTCCGGCTCATCCTTAAAAGCACTCGTGTGCTCAGGAAAACTAATGGTGCACACTCTGTTTCTAATCTGGGCCAGAAATTGTGGTACCTAATCTCAAAATGAAGTACAGTACAGGGTCAGTTGCGCTGGCAGCGCGTCTAAATTGTCCGGAAATATTATTGCTTTTTTTTTTTTTTTTTTTTTTTTTTTTTTTTTTTTTTTTAAAGGCAGTCCGGAAGTACTGATAAAGTGCGGAAATTCTGCGAGAAAATCCGGAATTTTTCGCTTCATGCAACGCATGTTCTTTGACCTTTGAAATAAATAATTTCTTGAGCATTGATTCCTACAAATGCAGCATTTGCCTGCCAGATCGAGATTGTGCTTTCAGTTGGACCAAAATTTTCAATTAAAACTATAATTTGTAGCTCATTCCAGAAACAACACACGCGCCATTAGTTTCCCCATGCAGATAGGTGTTTTTATGCACGAGCTGGAAATTGTAGTTCCTTATTGCAAAATGCAGTAGAGCTAATCTTCAGGCCACGAATGAGTTCCACATTTTGTCGCGATTCATGCCTGTCTCCAAATTTTTTGAATATTCCGAATACGGTCACATAAAGGTTAGCTTAATATCAACAATCAAGTGCAAGAAAAAGTTTTATATCAACCTGAAAGGGAAGGTGTCTTGTAAAAGGTGTATATTACAACTTTTTTTTTTTCAAATCTTGTTTCAGGTTCACTGGAAAGCGTCAAATGAAAATACCGCGGTATCATCTCACCAAGGAGAGACAACGCACTCCGAGCATAGCAAGGTAAGATTTTGATGTTTTTTCTGTACTGGAGGTAATCAAGCAGAAAGTGGATAAATCATTCCAATTGTCGTTCGGCACATGGAAGAATCGGAACGACTACGGATTAAAAGAATGTGGCTGTGAAATTTCTGTCCAAAATTGTGCAGGGGCCGAATTTTGTCTGCTCTTTCACACGAAAAAGTAACTTCCATCGATGAGTTCAAATCGCACCACCGGCCAATCAGAAATGCTAAGCCGGACTTAAGTGCAGTCGAGACTCGTTCTAAGTATATTTAAGCACGGTGGAAGGACCGACAAAACTCGGCCCCAGATTTTTACAAGAAATCAGAAAAAAAAACCTGCTGAATTTTTCAATGAGGAACGCCCAACAGTTTTTTCCACACTTGGGAAAAAAACACATTGGATCTAGAGTCCAGACTCTTGAAAACATCGACAAGAAAAAATACTCTTAATTCAATCAGATTTAAGCTTAAATCAAGAACCAAGCCTCTTAATTTGAGCGGATTTCCTTTTGATTTAAGCTTGAATCTGATTGAATCAAGAGTCCCTTTTCTTGTCAATGTTTTCAAGAGTCTGGACTCAAGATCCAATGTGTTTTTTTTTTTTTTTTTTTTTTCCAGTGCAGGGAAAATATTATCAGCCACCGGAAACTTTGCGATTTCGAAATGGAGTTAAAGTTACGCTCTTTTATCTGGGGAAGGTCCCGAGTTATGTGCGACACTCGCAGCGATAATTTCGTCGTTAATTCGACGTAAAGGCGTATCTCGATTTCCACTTGAGTCGTATCGTCCATTCAACACCATGCTTCCCAAGGCTCACGTGTAAATTGAAATTCGCGCTTACGCTAAAGGAGCGACAATTTCATAGCGCTTTGTTTTCGTTACGATCGAATCGATGAGGGTGCTTGAACGCCCCTCGAAGAGCAACGCATGTGTCCCATAGCGGGAGGAATACGACCTATCCGGATTCCGGATCTGTCTCCGACTCATCAAAGCGAAGTATGCTTCAATTAAAAAGGCGCTTGAAAAATCATTCCTCCGACGGGAAATGATTGGAAGCTCTCGGAAGATGCGACTCTTAATTGGGGGCCCCGCCTCGAAGCGTCATGGCACGTCTCCTTCAATTCTAGCCAAGCGGATATTTGAAAAACTCTCCAAAATGGAGGGGGGAAACAAACAAAGATAGGAAGTATGAACTTCGTAGTGCATTGAAACAAGAGGTGCTGTGTGCTTGGCTTTGTTCCAGGCGTTGCCGGATTTAGGAATGAGGGGCTCGGGCAGGGTGTCTCCCGTCAGTAATATCAGGAAATTCGATGTTATCAGGAAAAATTAGGAAAATCGGCCATGGAGTGGGAAAAGTTGAGTGCTTCAAGCTGTTTTAAAGCATTTTTCCAACTTTTGAGTTGTTTCATTAAGTGTGTTGATTTTTTAGATCAAAAGAGTGTCAACTAAGTCGCTCATAAAATCTGCAGGAAATCTCGTTTAAAACATCAGGAAAAATCAGGAATTCATCAGGAAAATCCAAAATTAAAGTTTAGCAGACACCCTGTTGGAGGACAAGGCGCATAAGTGTAGTTTTTAAAAAAGTTCATCGTTGCCGGACAAAGGAACGTATCTCCATTCCAAGGTTGCAAGATCTATGTGCTCTAATCTTTTTTCTTTTTACTCGAAAAATAAAGCGCGATTTCTGCCCGATATTTCGTTGATTTATGACGATAATCCATGGAAAAATCTGTGAAATTCTCAAAGATAAATCCCGAAAGTTTGCCTGGAAAACTAAAAATGGGTAGAGGGGGGGGGGCAAATTTGGCTACGTTGAAATGAAAACGATGACTTGAACGGCGTCTTGAAATATATTGACCATTAAAATATAAAGTCTTGAACTAAATGCAATTCTTAAGCATCAAAAGATGGGTTTGAACTTCCTCTCTGCCACAATTACCTTGAAACTTTAATCCCGTATGTCTTGAAGTAGCAAAAATTTCATTTATGCGCTTTGTCCTCCAAGCCCTTCAAATCACTTTATGAGAAGTTAGGCAACGTGCAATGCAGATAGGCCGATCTGGTTAAATCCGTCCAATTCTTATGTAAATTTTAGACTCAGACTCCTCGCTTCTGCTTGACTCGTTTCCTTGATTGACTTTTAGTTGCACGACTCTGATTTGAAGAGAAAGCTTTACTTTTCGTTTCACTCAGCGCGTGAAACTTCGACGAGATGAGGCTCTAATTCTGAACCTGCGTGGTGGCCCCTTATAGCAAAAATACTACAATTTAATCCATAAATACGATGATCAATTTCATAAGGAAATATTCATTGTATAAACATTGTGCATACATTCTCGCTAACTTTCTCCCGAAGCCTATATCCATTACTCTTAGCGTATCTGCTATCCGTCTCTTCAGCTGGCCAACTGCTTATTCTTACGTTAAAAACATATTCACTGCTGCCAGCGTTGTAAATCGTCTCATGTTTTTTCAAAATTCGTTGATCTTGGAGGATTCCATTTTTAAAATCGTCGTTGCCTTCCTTCCTGGTGTGTGAGTTCCTACGCAGGGCTGTCGCGAGGAAGATTACGTCAGTTGCGCTGGTCACAAAGTTGTGTTTTGATGCTTGATTCCAATAGGTCAGCTACAAATAATAAGAACTGTCCATAAGCGACTTTCTACGTGCGAGATGTCGCGCTTTGAAAACTTCGTCGTCATCCATCGCAGTGGTGACACCATTGGTTTCTTCTACCTCGCTTTCATCCGAGGATAACGTCGAGTAACCATCCAAAAACGTGTATCGTTCTGACAAACGAAAGCAATGTGGAAGAACCAAGGGTACCGCCACCGCGGTTGATGACGTCATAAACCGGATTTTTCAAAGCGCGATATCTCGGTCAATATTGAACGTAGAAAGTCGCTCATGGACGGTTATTATTATTTTTAGCTAATCTGCAAGAATCAAAAATTCGCTTATGGACGGTTATTATTATTTTTAGTTAATCTGCTAGAATCAAACATCAAAACACGATTATGTGACAAGCGCAACTGGCCCTTTGTGTGTGAATTGTCACCCGCACAAATGTTACAATGGGCACCACTTCTCTTCCCACTAGGGTTTGTAAATGGAGGAAGAAGAGGAATAAGAGGAAGAAGAACTAAGTAATGAAGAAGGATTAAAGGAAAAAGAAGGAGGATAAGGAAAAGACAAATTAACGAGAATTAAGGAGAAAACGAAGATGAAATGACGCTGAAGATGAAAGAGGCGTAGAAGAAAACGAAGACAAATAGGAAGAAAATGGTAAATAAGTTAACAAAGACGAGCAAGGAGACTACGCCGAAGAAGAAGGAGAAGAAAAATACAAAATAAGAAGTAGGAGAAGAAAAAGAAAAGAAAGAAGTAGGAGAGTAAGAAGAAGAAGTAATAGGAGGAGGAGAAGAAGAAGATGAAGAGAAGAAAGTGGACAAGAAGAACAGGAAGAAGAAGAGAGTGAAGAGGAAACAGAAACCGATTGAATCTCTCAAAAATCAAATAAATGAAGGAGACGCGAGTTATTTTGGCGCCCCTCTAGTTGGCATTTGCATGTTGTGCCCCATACGACACTCGACAAGCCTGTCTCCATCCTTATTAGCAGTTCCGTCTCTCATCCACTTGATTTCTCATCAGGCAAGAATCGGCACCGTCGTCGTCGGGGGGCGAAATACGATGGGGCGAAGTTAAATACGAGCGAGGTTTCGCGCGCTCGCTAAAAAGCCCGGTCCCTGTTCCCAGACCCCCCCCCCCCCCCCNTCCCGGCCTCAGCCCGGCGGGTAGGCTCCCCGAATAGAATGGTGGTAATGAATACTCAAGGCGCCAACACTCGCGAGCGATTTTCGCCCCGGCGCGGTATGACCCTCTTCCCATTCTGCCGCGCTAAGGAGGAACGCCGTATAAACCTTCAGGCGTTGCCAAGTTTCCTTGGATAAAATACGAATTTACCGGTAAACTTATGAATATTTTCCCTCTAATTTTTCAGATAATTGTGTTCGCAATTTCACCTGGCGTTCCTGAAAATTTCAAGGAAAAATATTCGTAATTTTCCTCATAAATAAACATTTTATCTAAGGAAATTTGGCAACTCCAGAATGTTCATACGGCGTTCTTCCTTAGCGCGGCAGCATTACCGGTGCAGTCTTTCGCTCCCGTGCACTTGCACTTGCCGCTCCAGCCGACAGCCACGTCGATCTCCTATTTAGGTGCGCGGCCCGAAGAGTGTGTTTCATTAAAACTTCGATAAAATTATTGTCGCTCCTTCGCTTCGCTCCTCCGCCGCGCCGCACAGTGGATCGAGTCAGTGGGAGAGGTCGGACAAAATCTGGAAACTTTAAACGCTTATAACTCCATTTGGACCGCATTTAACAGAAAGGAACCAAGCCACATCGGCTGTTGCCACATTTAACTGAGGTATTTAAATTTCTACGAAAGAACGTTTGTGCGAATTTTTTTGAAAATTTTAGGGAATCTGCCTTGTAACATGCAAAAAATTCACTGAAATTTTCAAACAAATTCGCTTCACCGTTTTCACATAAGACATTAAATGGCCCAGTTTTTGGCAATGGCTGATGTGCCTTGGTTCCTTTCTGCTTAACGTGGTCCATTCATACTAAACTTTGAGGTTTTGAAAGTGGTTACATCGGTTTCCTTGTGGAATTTTCTGTTTTAAGCACCCCTTAAAATTTAAAATCTGACGAAATAAATTTTGCAGTCTCAGTCAAAAATTTCATGTCCGACCTCTCTGATTGACTTCATCCATTGTGCGCCGCACAGTTTTCGCATGATCGGTGGAGGGTTACCGAGGGGTTAATGTCATACGTATAACGTTCATCGGCCGATCCAGAAAGTTGGCAACATTGTTTTTTTCTCTATCCAAATCTATGGAAATGTATCGATTCTCGGAGAGGGCAGGTGCTCCGATAAGAACCTATCATCGATAGTCATCGATCGAAGTTCGAAACCACGTGTGTCCGTTCATAGCG